AGGATGAAGTCCTTGGAGCAGGACGCCCTCCGCGCACAGATGGTCCTCAGCAAGTCCCAGGAGGGCCGCAGCAAGCGTGGGCCCCTGGAGCGCCTGGCCGAGGCCCCTCTCCTGCGCCCACCCCTTCACCCACCCCCTTGGAAGGTCCGTGTGTGTTTGGGGTAGGGGTGGGGGGCAGAGCTCAGCCTGCAGCGAGGACCTCTCCTGACGCTCACTTCTTGTCCCTCCAGACCTCAGTCCCCAGACCAGCACCTCCCCGGGACGCTTGGTGAGAAGCCTGTAGCTGTCACCCTTCCCTGCACCCCTCCCCCCACTGGGGGGGCAGGGACCTAGACTCCCCACCCCTTCTCCTTCTTACACTCTCTGCCTCTCTCCTCACGCTGTCCTTGCAAGGCCTTGTCTGGGAGGAAGTTTGACTACAGGGCGTTTGCAGCCCTGCCTTCTTCCAGGCCTGTCTATGACATGCAGGTACTGGGCTCTCCTGGCTCTTCTGCAGGACAGCCCCGGCCAGTTCCTGTCCCCTTTCCGCTGTGCCTGTCACCCAGCCCTGTCCCACCTACCTCCCCTCCTCCAGCCAGGGCTCAGCAGGGACCCACCCAGGTCCCGTGGGTGGTTTCAGGCAGGTCTGTGGTGGAGCCCTGACCAGCCCTTCTCCCCATCACAGTCCCCAGACTTTGCCGAGGAGCTGAGATCCTTGGAACCATCTCCGAGCCCTGGTGAGTTGGCAGGCCTCACCTGGGGTGCTCCCAGAGTGCCTGGGCCCATGAGCTCACTCGCCCCTGCCCACCAGGTCTGCTGGAGGAGGATGGAGAGGTGGCCATGGTGCTTCTGGGCAGGCCCTCTCCAGGAGCCATTGGTCCTGAGGAGGTGACACTGTGCAGCAGCCGCCGCGCAATTCGACCAGGGCGCCGGGGCCTGGGTCCGGTGCCTTCCTAGAGGGTCGGGGTACCCCCGCCCCAACTAGGGGTGGGGGCCCTGCCAGCTCCGACACCGCCCTTGCCCTGAGTCTTTTAACCTGGCTGTTAGCATTTTAAAGAGAGATCCCCTCAGGAGTTCTGGCCACTGACTAACTGCCCCTCCCCAACCCGGATCTCTTGGCAAGACTGTAACTAGTGATGTTTGTACGACCAAAGACTCTATTTTGTGGTTTAAGGAGAATAAACTTGACTACATTTTACCTCTCCTCTGTCTGTCCAATCGCCGGCACACTGATGCCCACCCCTTCCCCTCCGAGTCTGGGGCCACTAGGGGGACTACCCCCACTGGTGCGCTGCTCCACAGCGGGAGGGACTGATGGGCCCGCCTACCGGGGGAGGGCACCCCCAAGTGCCGGCCTGGCAGTGTCCTCCCGCTGGGGCTCCTGCCTGGCCCAGGACGCGGCGGCACAGGCTCAGCACCCCCACCCCCTGCACAGCCGCGCGCGCACAGCCGGACGCGTGCGCGTGCTTTATTGGGGCCAGGCCCTAGAGGTCTCCGCTGGGCAACTGCACGCGCACCGGGAGCAGGATCTGCAGCTGCTCGGCTGGTGGCCACCGAACCTTGGTGACAAAGAAGAGGCGAAAGTGCCCCAGGCGCGCCTCCTGGAACTGGGTGGGGCCGTACTCCGGCCCATCAGTCGGCCGCAGCAGCGATAGGTACCTCTCCTGCTCTAGCAACCCGCGGCGCAGCAGCTCCTTTGCCAGGCCCGGCTGAACCTCCTCCAGCTGCCGCTGCACTGCCGGGAACAGGTCCACCTCGCGCAGGTCAAACACCAGCGGCTTCCCGAACCTGCGGCGGGTGGGCGGGGCGGTGAGGGGCG